CCGGATCGGCTTTCACCGTGGACGAAGCGGAGTCCAGCCCGGGGTCGTCACATGTGGTTGCCGCAAGCCCGCCCGCCGCCGTTCACTCTAGGCCTCCGGCCACCGCTCACTCTATCCTGCCGTGTTGAAAAAAAACAGCATATGCTGGTTAGGTATGTTTTGAAGCTGGGATGCTGGTTTGAGCTGGTTTAAGCTGGTCCTTTGCTGGTTTAAGCTAGACCATCTTAAACCAGCAAAGGACCAGCATAAACCAGCAAAGGATCAGCTCAAACCAGCATACCACCTTCATAAACCAGCAAAGGACCAGGGGTTTTCATGTTTTTGAATCATCACTCCGGCCTGACAGGGCATCATCACAGTATGGTAAGAGGCGTAACATTTCCGTCTCACGCTTGAGGTATTCGGCCAATCACAACGCACTGGATAGCTGGCCAATCACAGCACACCTCGCTTTTTCAGACCGATGAGCTTTGTAAAAATCGACGTGTTTCAGAAAGACGGGGCATAGAGGAGAAACAATAATGTACAGTATGTGGAAAATAATGTGTTTTTTGAACCTTAAACCGCATAAACACATTTCATTACACCAAATACACAAAATAATGTTCTTTTTAGCAACATCATATGACCCCTTTAAGATGAACGGATTAAACAATCAAAAACATTACATTTTGAAGGAAAAAAATGATTTGGCTATATTAAGAACATCAAAATTTGACATTAATCGCGGCAACTCTGTCAAAGTTTACAATGTTCCTGGCATCGAATCCTAAAAAGATATTTCAGAATATTTAGTCAGGTTGTAGTTGCAAGTGCAATGATTTCTATTTTCAGTTAGTTTATGACCCGCCCATAAACGGCACATTAAAGAAGTGAAGTGTGATGGGTGGTTTAACGTGCCAGTCAAACTGCCCCTTCATAACTGCATAAACAACTACATGACCAGAATAAACTATCACAATCATTGATATTATGTGTAGCACAATTAATATCAATAGTCTAAAACTTAGTTTTGTGAGACCATGTGTTTGTCTAGTGAGAGTGGCAGAAACGAATATCAGCAGTTTTTGAGAGTTTATGGAAGCGCACTGGCCACATCTAAAATAAAACTTTTATTAGAGCTTTTATTCAGGGAGCTGATATCACGGAGTCCTAATCTTGTGCGAGTGTATAATTTTAAGCATATTTGTATGTTTGCTTTTCAAAGTTTATTTCTTTAAACGTACGTGCATCTTTTTACATAGATAAACCCGTATATATTAAACGGCGCGTCTGTATAGGTGTGTAGCAGCAAAGCAGGACAAATGAATTCTTCTTCTCTCTTACTTCCTAGCGCATAATAAACCAATCAGAACGGGTTACATACAATACGCCCCGCCCTCACCTTTACAAACCAGCCAATCAACGCGCTCCCCCGGGAGATTTACTCCAAACAGGGAGGCCGAACCACAACCAGGTAACCAAGAAAAAACGAGACCGCGAGAAAAGGCTTCAGGGCTTGATATGGGGTTAGCGTGAGACGAACCAGGACCTTTTTCTGCCTTCTTTACCAGTCAAACCAGTAACTCTGGATAGAGAGCACAAGTACTGCAACAGGTAGAGTCTCGTGCCGCACTCTCTCTCGTGTCCTTCTCCTGAAGTAATCTTCTGTCCTTTCTCGTGTACTTCAATTGAATTTCCGTTTCTTTTGTTTGCTTCTCTTGGAGAAAGGTGAACCCTCGTGTTACTGTTTTATTTGATCTTTGCTCTTAATTGTAGTTTTTACCCTTGTGGTCCCTGATGGCTTCGCACAGTGATACTCTGGTGGTGTTCTTTGGGGCAACAGCTGGTGCAAATGGGGGTAAACTGGGGTCGGATGAAAGGGAATTAATTCTCTTGGTGTGGCAAATTGTGGATCTACATGAGAATAAGGTACGGACCTTTTGACCCTGTTGTAAGGTCTCTTACTTTAAACTACCCACCTAGTAATATGCTAGTGTTAGAAACCACCTCGACGGCTGACATTCACTAACAAGGAGCGCTTTCAGAGAGTTTTCATTGTGATTTACATTACAAGCAGCAGCTGTTTTATTTGATGATCTGTTTGACAACGTGATTCGAGCATTATAATGTGGTCTTTTCAAGCCACGAGAGACGAAAGCGTGCCTTGTTTGGTGCGTGTCATCGCCTGTAGGTCAGTAACCCTGCCGTGTCTGCTTTGCGTTCACACAAACACACTGCCTGAGATAAAATCATCATCGCCATAGTGACCCGGTGTCAAACCCAGTGAGCTGCCTATCTAGACAGCATAGGCGCGTGGAGAACACTGTCTGTGTTCTCGACGGCCAGGTGTGTTAAAGGGCGTGCCGATGAGAAAACCCGCTTGAGATGTATTGCGAGGCCCATTGAAAGAGATGATGTTGTTAACAGGTGGGCAAGCTTAAGCGGACTCTAGTACAGCCGGACAGTGCGGATCTGTCGGAGCAGTGCAAGGAGGAGACCGGGCTCACGGCGGAGGAGCTGTGCAAGGCCGAGCCGCTGGAGAGCGTCCTGCAGCAGGTGAGAGGCCATGCGTTTCTTTCTCGAGCCATGCATCTCTACAGCTGTTTGTGTATATTATGGCCTTTCAAACTGATGCCTAGGAATGTTTTTGTCATTTAGTTAAAAGTCAATTAAAAGTCACATATAAAGCAGTGTCTCCAATTTTTGTGTGTCAGCATAAGGCAAGTCTTTGATATTGTCCACATGATTGAGCATTTGTCAGATTTGGGTTGATTTTTAAGTGGCTTGCTGTGTGTAATGCGTGCGAGTGTGTGTGTGGTTTGGGTGTGGGAAGGAAGGCACAGACGCTCTGCTCTAGAGGAGAGTGCAGGTCTGGTCTTGTTGTGGACTGATGTGTTAAGCAGACATCTGGAAGACAGAATGTTTACCTGCGAATGCACCCACCTGAGAACCATAAATGTCAGTGAGTGGAGAGTGAGCAAGAGTGATATGGATACAGAGAGATGAACAGAATAGTAGAGAGTGGGATTAAAATTAAAAAGAGTGAACCAGAGAGATTTTCCTGTTTTCCTTTTCTTCTGCTATCCATGTTAGGCTAATTTATCAAGCAGGATACAGTTTCGGGTTGCTCCTGAGTTTTGCAGGTATGTTTTGGCAAAAGACAGTTGTCACCAAACGTGTTTTTCAACCATGACGCAGAGAGAATTTGTTTGTGCTTGGTAAACCTGTTTCCACCCCCCACTGTTTCATAATGGACACCCTCTCATTATTGCCCACAGAAAGATATTTAGAGCTTGAAGTCTAAGCTCAGTTCTGGGACTAGATGTTTGTTGGAATTTATATATATTACATTTATTAAAGTACAAATTAGAACCATTAAAGAATGATTATTTAATACATTTTCTCCCATTTTTTTTTTATTGCATATCTTTGTAGCATTCAGGTGGTGGCATGTTATCTTGATTCAGTCATAGCCTATCCCCAGGGGGCTCTGTAAATATTAACTAGTGAAATCAATTTCTCCCTGCCTACCTTTCAGAGAGATAGATAGAAAGACAGGCTCTATCAAACCATTGGTTCAGTTCAATTAATTTTCCTTTTTGTTTTCAAAGAAATACAACCACTTCCAACAGGTGTTGGAACTAGAAGTGGGTGATACAACCAAAATCATTCATGATAGGAGTAATTTTATTTATCATATACTAAGATATAATCATAATATAGTTGTTTTTGTTTTATGTTTGTTAAGAACAAATCAAAAAGCAAATTACAAACAATAGGATACAATGTAAGAAAGATACAAATAATAAAAAAAGAGTGCTTTAACTTTTCCAGGTACAGTAGATCTATTTAACAGTAGCATTCAAGTAAGAAATTTTATTATCAAATGTAAATTAAAACTGCACATTCTTCACTGAATGAATTATATATTCACTGATTCTTATTAAAGCTACAAGAGCAAGCACTGCATTTTAGTTCTTTTTGTGGCTTATTGTGCTTAACTCTTCAACATCAAGCATGCACTTTTTCTCATTCATGTTTCTTTATCACTCATATGTGTCAACTTGAAGCAGTCCTGCGTAAATATATTCACATACCATGATGTGGCAATCTATCTCTAAACACTTTATATTGTCACCACAATATTTAACATCATAGCGCCCAGCCCTATAAGGAACAGTGAGGGGTTTGGGGAAGGGCTCTCACTCAGGACTTTGACCTGTTATCTTCAGTGAAAGATTCATTCAAGTCCCCCTGTCCCCTACATATGGAATGGTGACACAACTAACATCAGTTTTCTCACTGTTGTGACTCACTGGTTGATAAAATTGTCCTCATAATTGTGTCTTGGTTAGGAAACAGGTATTTAGGAGGGTTTAGTGAGTTTTTTTTTCTGAGCTTTTGCGGCTGATCTGTGCTGTGTGTATTGAGAAGTGGCATCCAAAGTGAAACGTAGGGGGGGAAAAATGTATAGCTGCTGGCACTCACTGGGTGACTCGCTTTGGCTTTGCACCTGCTTTTAGATGCTAACTCTGTGGGAATGGTGAGGTGCTAACACCCGTGTGTGTGCGAGGGAGAAAAGACTTGAAGCACAATAAAATTGTTACTGTGTCTGTGAGATCATGAGTGTGTTTGTGGGAGAAAATGATATTGGGTGTGTTTGAGAGACACAGGGTGTGTTAGAGAAATTGTGTTTTCTTCTGTGTGCTCGCTGACAAAGCACAGCAGGCTGGCAAGAGCGTGTCAGTACCTGTGAGTGATGAGCAGAGAGCTTTATTTCTCTACAGACTGTCAATGTGAAGGGGGAGCTCTGGCAAATGCCTCTATGAAAGGATGAGTGACACGTTTCAGCCTCAGAAAGACTTCCCATCAGTAAAATGGTCATTTATAGAAATGAATTAGATGGATTTTGGGTCTCATGTTTTTACAGCATTGTATAAAGTGAATACAGAATGGATTAATCAAATCCGGTTGTGACTGTTGCTTAAACATCCTGGTAGTTCAGCCGGCACATTCTGTTACCTTATCTAAAGACACTCTCACTTCACTTCATCCCGAACACACAGGTTGAGTTCTACTCAAAAGTAAGCATCACTATGCCCTACTAATTTTAGAGGGCAGAACGCTTAAAGTGAGTATAGGGCAAGACTGTTTTGTGTTTGCGTTTGGTACATTTTTCAGACACATGTCATTATCATTCAGTAAAACTCGGAGAAAAAAAAATTGAGCAGCACAATTGTTTTCAATGTTGATGATAAGAAATGTTTATTGGGCACCAAATGATTTCTGAAGGAGCATGTGACACTGAAGACTGGAGTAATACCTGGTAAAAATTCAGCTCTGCCATCAGTTAAATATATTAAAACAGAAAATAGTTATTTTATGTTGTAATACTATTTCACAATGTTACTGTTTTACTGTATTACTGAAAGACTTCTTTCAAAAACATAAAAAAAAAAATCTTATCAAACCTAAACCTTTGAACAGTAATATATGGAAGGAATATTTTCTGCTGATAGTTGTTTGGTGTACAAAAGCAATTTTAGATATAAAATGCACAGGTTTTAAAATGAATGGTAAAAGCTTGCCACCCGGGATCATGTGATCATAAACGGCAAAATAACTTTAAGTGACCACCATAAGTGCACTTTACTAATAGCCTTAAGGAACGAGCTTTCGTAGAGGGATTCTGCTGCTCACTTGCATTTTGAATGACCCTATAGATTGCATCCCTTTTCTTCAAGGGAGCAAAAGTGCCATTTGGAATTCGGCCTCTGTGTACACACACATACACATAGATCAAACATGGCTCAGCAGGACACACTGATTGATTGTCATGCCAAAGATCAAATTTCTCTCTCACTTTCACTGACGGTGGCAGAGGAGAATGTAAAACTGAAACTCCGATCAAGTTTAACTATCTTGTGTGTCTTATGCTAGCGATACAAACGCCTTTTCTCAATGCTGGAGTGGCTATTTTACTGATTTTGTCTTTTTGCTTAAAGTAAAAATGGATCAAATTTTAAAAGTTTTATTTTTATAGAATTTTCATATCCAGCCAGTGAAATGTTACCCTTCATATCTAGCTTTTTTTCCTGGAGTTTGATCTCCCCTGTCTAATTGTGTGTAGGCACAGGGTGTGTCAGTGTGTTTTCGCAGAATGTTTGTGTAGCAGAAATTAAGTTTGCACTGAATTATTGCAGTTGCTAATTTGTGCAAGGCGGGGTTGTGTTGTGAAAACAGCCATGAATGCACAATACACAATACACAAGTGCACACACTCACAAACCCTGTAACAAGTGCAGCGCTAAGTGAATGCATTATTTTGTGTTTGTGTTATTATTACTGTGACTGTGTACCACTCAAGCCTTATTTGAGATTACTTAAAATGAGATGTGAAGCTCTTGAATTATTCTTTCAGAATTGTCAGGTATTTACAAAGTTAAGCCCTTAATGACTAACTGAAGCCTTGTATTTGCATGAGGTATGAAGATGGACAGGATATGTGGAAAAACAGCATGTCGCTGTCCAAGAGCGTGATGGGAATGTAGCTGAATGTGCTGCAGTTCTGCCTTCAGTTGTTCTCAATGGTTTGAGAGCTTTATACTGCTTTATTTCTCAAATTCTCCAATATTGCCAGCTTGTAGATTAGTCCGGTTATGTATGTTGCACTTAATCTTTTGAACTTTTTGTTAGCTACTGTATGTCTTGGTTGCTTTTACTTTTGGTTGCTCTGGGTAAAGGCAACGTTTGCTTGTTATCAGCGCCGCCCAAATGATAGGAAAATTAGGCCATAAAGGGGCTATCGGTTTTCTTCAGACTCTGGTCATTCCTGCTCTGTTGTAATTCACTGCAGATTGACTTAAATCATAGAAATGTCATGTTTGATTCATCACATTAAGTTAGTAGTTAAACAATTTTTTTCGTAACTCTTGATCTGAGCTTGTATTAGTTTAATTAGTTTGATAAAAAACAAAAAAAACCTGTTGATGTAGGTGGTATAACCTAAATCTTACATCACAAGTAATTTTAATATCAGAGAAACTGTATATCATGTTATTTTTGCTGATGTAAATGTAACATGCATCTTATATACTTGCATAATATAAACTCTGCTTCATTCAGTGCCTTCACTTTTAAAAGTGATTTTTCAAAATTGAAAATAAAATAAAAATGATTGGAGTACATTGAATAAGAAAATACAATTTCAGTGTTTCTAATTCAGAATTCCATATTTAATTGTGTTGATTGCGGTTTCTTTGCAATTGTTTGTGAAATTTGCTAGCACTTTGAGGGAAAACATTTTCTACACTTTTTTAAATTTGTAGTGCAAGAACCGCCCTTAATAACACGTTCTTTTTCATGTTGACTTGTGTGAGACATGTTCTCCTTTGCATTTTCTCATTTCCATGTTTGCCACTCTCATGTGAACATCATAAAGCACTCAAATCTGTTGTCGTGTCATGGTCGTGGTGGTTAGCCTGTACTGCTGTTGGCTGATGCAGAGATGGATAAGTTTACTAAACATCTGTAATAGTTCATTAAAGACATGTTTTTGCTTAAAAACAGGTGAATGTGGGAGCCCCTATAGCTGTGAGTGAGCAGGTGGTGTGTTTTTGTTCTTCATTTGTTTTGTCATCTATCTCTCTGGTCATGTGAAATACTTTATCTGAAATGACTGCAACGGCCATTGCTCACTTCCTGTATTTTCACCAAACCAGTCTGACCAGCTGCTTAGTCTTCAAAACAAGAAAGCACACGCACACAGAGCAGCATGTGTACATATTACTACATAATGTGGGTGTCCTCTGTGCTGCCCTTGACGTTGTAGTAGAAAGTTCAGTGGTTTAAGCTTAACCTTGTTTTGTTTTTTAGTTAAAAAAAAAAAAAAAAAAAAAAAAATTCTCACTGATCCTTCTCAACGGTGTAGATGTAAAGGGAAGTGAATCGAATACCTACCTGTGTGTAATGCTGTGGTGTTTTAGAATAGAAATAATAAATTTTTGCGCCATTCCTTCTCTGTTTTTCACTGTTTCTGTTCCTGTCTCTAGTTTTATCAGTCGGTGTCAGCTGAACTGAAGTCTCTGGGCAGAAGCTCCTACACACTTTGTGTGGGTGGACCACTGCTTATCCGACAGGTGCTGCACCCTGAGGCCTCCAAAAAGGTAACACCCTCCTTCCAAAGTCCAAACACACTGTCATCCTTGAGTATTTGCATTTAATCCACCCTTAACTAAGGCTATTGAAAACTGAAAAGGAAAAGCCTAGGTGTGTGTGTATTCTTCTGACATTTCTAAATTAGCTGTCAGTCTGTGGTATAATCTGTTTAGCAGCAACATGTTATAATCTTTACAGGAATGCTGTGTTCCTCCAGAAGACATTAAAGTGCCCTCAATCCATTCATTCCCTACCATTTCCCTCTTTTTTACTGTTTGATCTCCTCTGCCCTTCCCTCAGGCTCCTCCTAAACATGTTCTAGTGAGCATCTCCCTCATTTGTCTGAGTGTGTTTTGTTGTAGAATCTAGTCCTGCCAGAGTGCTTCTACACATTTGTGGACTTGAAGAAAGAGTTTCACAAATGCTGCCCCAACGCAGGCCCTGTCAAAGATCTCACTCTGACCTCCATGCTGGACTGTATCCTGCATATGCTTTGGGTTTTACTGTGCTATTTGTGGAAAGCGGTGGTCCAAAATGTATTTTTGATTTTTTTCAAATACCAGTATTTAAAGATCAGGGGCAGGGCCCGTATTCTTAAAGATTAGAAGAATCCTTTCAGAAAGCTCCTAATTTAGCTTAAAAATGTCTATGTAGGAGTCTTAGCTTCAGAGCGATTCAGGACCAATCTGAGAGCAACTCTCAGCAAGGAAAAGACAAAAACTTTCATCTTAGCGAGGAGGCGGGGCTGACCCGTTGCTACGTATGACACAGTCACAGAAGACTGTGATTGGTTGGTTGTCCCAAGAAGTAAGAAAAGAGTGCTTTAGGGTTTATTATAAGCCTTCCTGTTTTACCATACTCTCTCACACGCATTATATATATATATATATATATATATATTCTTACTTTTTTATTTACCATGCTGTTAATGTTGTACTTAAGGTACATTTGATAGGAAACGAACAGTGACACAATAAGGTTCTGAAAGTGCTGTAATTGTTTGTGTGATCACTTTGCTTGTAGAAGGTTATGACAGACCCAAATCATCACTGCTACAAAGTTGCATTTTTCCAGTTGCCAAATATGTTAATGTACAGCCACGTTCACACAAAACACGCGCAGTATGAACTGTACAACTAGTTGTAGTACAGTGCAAGAGAGCCGCTCATGTGTGGTTTCACTCTGGGTAAGTTACTAAGTAACGCGTTATCCACTGAAAAAAGTAAAGTAAGGGATTACGGTTCATTTTTAGGTAATTTAATTTCAGTTACTTATAAAGTATTTGCGTTACATACTGTAAATAATTTCAACAGTTCTAAAATCAATATTGAATTTGAAATCTAAATTTATCGTCTAAAGCTAAAATTGAATGCAGCGTCTTTAACCCTCTGCGTGCCGGCGCATTCACTTGCTGTTTTTCCTGATAAGAGAGAAAAGGACCTAAAATACCCAGATACAGATAAGACTAAAATCAATCAAATCTATAAATGGTATACTTTTATTTGTGTGCACTGACAATAACAACAAAACATTGTGCTTTTGTAAAATCAACAAAACAAAAACAGGGTGCGCTTTCTGCTGTTTTGTTCTCCGTGAACTTCTTTCTGAAACGCGTCTCTCTCTCTCTCTCTCTCTCTCTCTCTCTCTCTCTCTCTCTCTCTCTCTCTCTCACACACACACACACATTATATATATATATATATATATATATATATTCTTACTTTTTTATTTACCATGCTGTTAATGTTGTACTTAAGGTACATTTGATAGGAAACGAACAGTGACACAATAAGGTTCTGAAAGTGCTGTAATTGTTTGTGTGATCACTTTGCTTGTAGAAGGTTATGACAGACCCAAATCATCACTGCTACAAAGTTGCATTTTTCCAGTTGCCAAATATGTTAATGTACAGCCACGTTCACACAAAACACGCGCAGTATGAACTGTACAACTAGTTGTAGTACAGTGCAAGAGAGCCGCTCATGTGTGGTTTCACTCTGGGTAAGTTACTAAGTAACGCGTTATCCACTGAAAAAAGTAAAGTAAGGGATTACGGTTCATTTTTAGGTAATTTAATTTCAGTTACTTATAAAGTATTTGCGTTACATACTGTAAATAATTTCAACAGTTCTAAAATCAATATTGAATTTGAAATCTAAATTTATCGTCTAAAGCTAAAATTGAATGCAGCGTCTTTAACCCTCTGCGTGCCGGCGCATTCACTTGCTGTTTTTCCTGATAAGAGAGAAAAGGACCTAAAATACCCAGATACAGATAAGACTAAAATCAATCAAATCTATAAATGGTATACTTTTATTTGTGTGCACTGACAATAACAACAAAACATTGTGCTTTTGTAAAATCAACAAAACAAAAACAGGGTGCGCTTTCTGCTGTTTTGTTCTCCGTGAACTTCTTTCTGAAACGCGTCACAAAAACGAAACTAAACTCGGCGAATACTTCACACACAGATGTGAGAAATATGTCTATAGAAAAATTGAAGTGTCTACTTTTAAATTAACCAATTCAAATCAAAAACGAATATTCTCTGATTATGTAATAATCTAAACTAAAAAACTAAAGCGAGGTACAGTCTTTCCAGTCTCAGAGCTCATTATCTGCAGCCATACCTGCGCGCAAACGCCCTCATCACCTAGATACAAAAAATAGATAACATAAAAAAAAATGAAGATTCATCTGCTTGTCATTGTTTTTGGAAGAAGACTTGAGGAATAAGCCGGAATTTACCTCAGAAGAACAGCGCGATCTGACACGGCTTTATTCAGCGGAGGAGATCATTTCTTACATTAGTTAACATGTTATTTTTTAGGCTACATAAACTTGTACGCATTTTACTAGTTGTGCTTTTCCTATCTTGCCAAACTGAAATGTGTGAAAGAGTAAAATATGCTGAAATATGATATGCTATGATATGTTGTTGTATACATGTACCGTATGTCAGTGTGTATGAAATATAGTACTAATTGCTTTGAAAAGTTTAATGCTTACAGCTTGATACATGTACCCCTGGTTTCACAGACAAGGCTGAAGTCTAGTCCCAGATTAAATACATTTCTGAGCTGTTTTAACTGAAAGAAACTTGCACTGACATACCTTAAAATACTATCTCAAGTATTATCTCAAGATGCACTCCAGTAATGTTTTCTTCTAAGGCAGTGGTTCCCAAACTTTTTGCAGCATGCACCCTTTTCTAGTGTTTGACACGTCAAGCACCCCCACCACCGTACTCCGGTTAAACACCACATTTTTTAGTGCAATACAAGTATAAATACAAGTACAGCGCAGTATGAACTGTACAACTAGTTGTAGTACAGTGCAAGAGAGCCGCTCATGTGTGGTTTCACTCTGGGTAAGTTACTAAGTAACGCGTTATCCACTGAAAAAAGTAAAGTAAGGGATTACGGTTCATTTTTAGGTAATTTAATTTCAGTTACTTATAAAGTATTTGCGTTACATACTGTAAATAATTTCAACAGTTCTAAAATCAATATTGAATTTGAAATCTAAATTTATCGTCTAAAGCTAAAATTGAATGCAGCGTCTTTAACCCTCTGCGTGCCGGCGCATTCACTTGCTGTTTTTCCTGATAAGAGAGAAAAGGACCTAAAATACCCAGATACAGATAAGACTAAAATCAATCAAATCTATAAATGGTATACTTTTATTTGTGTGCACTGACAATAACAACAAAACATTGTGCTTTTGTAAAATCAACAAAACAAAAACAGGGTGCGCTTTCTGCTGTTTTGTTCTCCGTGAACTTCTTTCTGAAACGCGTCACAAAAACGAAACTAAACTCGGCGAATACTTCACACACAGATGTGAGAAATATGTCTATAGAAAAATTGAAGTGTCTACTTTTAAATTAACCAATTCAAATCAAAAACGAATATTCTCTGATTATGTAATAATCTAAACTAAAAAACTAAAGCGAGGTACAGTCTTTCCAGTCTCAGAGCTCATTATCTGCAGCCATACCTGCGCGCAAACGCCCTCATCACCTAGATACAAAAAATAGATAACATAAAAAAAAATGAAGATTCATCTGCTTGTCATTGTTTTTGGAAGAAGACTTGAGGAATAAGCCGGAATTTACCTCAGAAGAACAGCGCGATCTGACACGGCTTTATTCAGCGGAGGAGATCATTTCTTACATTAGTTAACATGTTATTTTTTAGGCTACATAAACTTGTACGCATTTTACTAGTTGTGCTTTTCCTATCTTGCCAAACTGAAATGTGTGAAAGAGTAAAATATGCTGAAATATGATATGCTATGATATGTTGTTGTATACATGTACCGTATGTCAGTGTGTATGAAATATAGTACTAATTGCTTTGAAAAGTTTAATGCTTACAGCTTGATACATGTACCCCTGGTTTCACAGACAAGGCTGAAGTCTAGTCCCAGATTAAATACATTTCTGAGCTGTTTTAACTGAAAGAAACTTGCACTGACATACCTTAAAATATGTCAGTTCCATTGTTTTATCTCAAGATGCACCAGTAATGTTTTCTTCTGGCACATTTATAAAAATTACTTAAATTTACTTTTAAGCTTTTTTGTTATTTGGATATTTTGCAGAGTAATTATATTTGTTAACTAAAGGTGGTTAAATTTTTTTATTAAAATGCTTAAGTATTACAGTTGTTTTAAAGCTAAAAGGCTAAACTATTCCATGTTTAACTCAAACTGAAATAATTACGTTTAATTTCTATGCATCAAGGTTTATAGGGATTTTATGAAGTAATTAACGATTCAAATGATTAAGTTACTTGAGTAATTAAGTTACTTTTCAGACAGAGTAATTATAAAAGTAATTTAAATACAATATTGATGATGTAATTAGTAATAAGTAATTAATTACTTTTTTAAAGTAACTTACCCAACACTGGTTACGGCGACGGAGAAATGAGCTGTACATCATCTAAAGGTTTTAGATCCAGTCACTGTTCTTCACTGGAGCAGTTTCTGTCAGTTTTTTGTTCTGTGCGTGACTCAAATGCAATGTCATGCGCAAGATGCAGAAAGGTCGGATGCGAGTTCATATATGGGCTTGACTCTCGTTGCCCATTCATACAGACAGTATTCAAGACGCTACTATAAGCTGCTGTTTGAACGGGACATTTCGAGACTCACACCTGTAAGGAAATGCGGTTGTCAATTCCTAAAACTGACAATGTGAACGTGGCCATAGTTAATGTAGTGATTGCTTTCATTTCTGTCCCTATGGCATTTTTAAACTGTGTCGGAGATGTTAGTCTGTCTCTAATATCGGTCACAAACATGATCACTGCACAATCTAATGTGTAGTGTCATGCATTGTGTGCAATGCATTTCTTCTCGCTCTTCACTTTTTGTTGATTTTCTCCACTGTTAAAGAAACTCTTAAGCCTCTTAAAAGTCCTCGTCAGTACTCTTAACAATTTTGGACCTTAAGAGCTCTTTTAAGGGTTAAGATGCTTTCTGAATTACTTTCTTCTTTACTAGGATCTCAACAAAACATTGTGCTTTTGTAAAATCAACAAAACAAAAACAGGGTGCGCTTTCTGCTGTTTTGTTCTCCGTGAACTTCTTTCTGAAACGCGTCACAAAAACGAAACTAAACTCGGCGAATACTTCACACACAGATGTGAGAAATATGTCTATAGAAAAATTGAAGTGTCTACTTTTAAATTAACCAATTCAAATCAAAAACGAATATTCTCTGATTATGTAATAATCTAAACTAAAAAACTAAAGCGAGGTACAGTCTTTCCAGTCTCAGAGCTCATTATCTGCAGCCATACCTGTGCGCAAACGCCCTTGTCACCTAGATACAAAAAATAGATTAAAAAAATCAAGATTCATCTACTTGTCATTGTTTTTGGAAGAAGACTTGAGGAATAAGCCGGAATTTACCTCAGAAGAACAGCGCGATCTGACACGGCTTTATTCAGCGGAGGAGATCATTTCTTACATTAGTTAACATGTTATTTTTTAGGCTACATAAACTTGTACGCATTTTACTAGTTGTGCTTTTCCTATCTTGCCAAACTGAAATGTGTGAAAGAGTAAAATATGCTGAAATATGATATGCTATGATATGTTGTTGTATACATGTACCGTATGTCAGTGTGTATGAAATATAGTACTAATTGCTTTGAAAAGTTTAATGCTTACAGCTTGATACATGTACCCCTGGTTTCACAGACAAGGCTGAAGTCTAGTCCCAGATTAAATACATTTCTGAGCTGTTTTAACTGAAAGAAACTTGCACTGACATACCTTAAAATACCATTGTTTTATCTCAAGATGCACCAGTAATGTTTTCTTCTGGCACATTTATAAAAATTACTTAAATTTACTTTTAAGCTTTTTTGTTATTTGGATATTTTGCAGAGTAATTATATTTGTTAACTAAAGGTGGTTAAATTTTTTTATTAAAATGCTTAAGTATTACAGTTGTTTTAAAGCTAAAAGGCTAAACTATTCCATGTTTAACTCAAACTGAAATAATTAAGTTTAATTTCTATGCATCAAGGTTTATAGGGATTTTATGAAGTAATTAACGATTCAAATGATTAAGTTACTTGAGTAATTAAGTTACTTTTCAGACAGAGTAATTATAAAAGTAATTTAAATACAATATTGATGATGTAATTAGTAATAAGTAATTAATTACTTTTTTAAAGTAACTTACCCAACACTGGTTACGGCGACGGAGAAATGAGCTGTACATCATCTAAAGGTTTTAGATCCAGTCACTGTTCTTCACTGGAGCAGTTTCTGTCAGTTTTTTGTTCTGTGCGTGACTCAAATGCAATGTCATGCGCAAGATGCAGAAAGGTCGGATGCGAGTTCATATATGGGCTTGACTCTCGTTGCCCATTCATACAGACAGTATTCAAGACGCTACTATAAGCTGCTGTTTGAACGGGACATTTCGAGACTCACACCTGTAAGGAAATGCGGTTGTCAATTCCTAAAACTGACAATGTGAACGTGGCCATAGTTAATGTAGTGATTGCTTTCATTTCTGTCCCTATGGCATTTTTAAACTGTGTCGGAGATGTTAGTCTGTCTCTAATATCGGTCACAAACATGATCACTGCACAATCTAATGTGTAGTGTCATGCATTGTGTGCAATGCATTTCTTCTCGCTCTTCACTTTTTGTTGATTTTCTCCACTGTTAAAGAAACTCTTAAGCCTCTTAAAAGTCCTCGTCAGTACTCTTAACAATTTTGGACCTTAAGAGCTCTTTTAAGGGTTAAGATGCTTTCTGAATTACTTTCTTCTTTACTAGGATCTTTTCTTTAATTCTAAGAGGAATTTTCTTAGAATTTTGTCATTAGGAGCAACTCTTTGCACTAAGAATTTTCATGAATACGGGCCCAGGATTATAATACGATTTCAGCATTTTCAGCTGTTTTGGTAGGAATATGTGCATTCACATATGCATATGACCTTGACATTGTTGTCAGATGTGTGTATTCCTGCAGCGGTGGAGCAGGAGGCCGGAATGAGGGAGGCGAAGAACATGGTTCTGCTAATTCTGCACCTCCTGACTGAGCCTTACAGTGAGTCACTCAGCACAGTGGATTGATCCGTGCAGTTTATATACTGATAAAACCTTACATATTTGCTTTTGTTATGCACAACTGATCATGTGATCTCATAATAACTGAGTTTTTTTTCTTTGTAGATCACACATTCTCCACTTTTGAGACTGTAAACTACAAGTTTGAATCTGGAGCATGGTATTTACTCATATTTGTCATAGTTTGATTTTTTTTTTTCTGATATGTTTTGTTTGTTTGAGCAGTGAGGAATTTCCCTTTTACTGCTGTCCAGAATGTTCTTACTTTAAGAGCTGATGACATTGACCATAAGTTTTCAAATACATCTGTGGGGTTTCCCATTATAAGACTGTTTGACTATGGTCATCGCCCATAAGAATGCTGCTAAGCATGAATGATTGTTTCCTGTGTGTGTGCATGGCTTCCAGCAGTAAGACAGAAGCTGTGGACAGCGAGACGGTCGTCAGAGCTCGTGGGTTGCCATGGCAGTCATCTGATCAGGACATCGCTCGCTTCTTCAAGGGCCTCAACATTGCCAAGTGAGATTACAGCTCAGCTTAACACTGAAAGGCACACTCGCAATGACATGGTGCATGCACTCAGAAAAGACCCTTAAGTACACATTAACAGTGTAATGCAAAACTCTGAAAAACCTTAAAGGCATATCTAGCCAAATCTTACATCAGGACTTTCACTAGTGGAAAAGTAGCTTTACGTGGAATGTCCAAGCTGATTTATCATAACGAGTACATTTTAAAGGATGCATACTAAATGTGTTGTTTCTCTGCCTTTGTTTGATTTTTGTGGGTGTGTGTTTGTATCAGAGGTGGCGTTGCACTGTGTTTAAATGCTCAGGGCCGGAGGAATGGGGAAGCTCTGGTGCGCTTCATAAACTCTGAGCACAGAGACATGGCACTCGAGCGACATAAACACCACATGGGCAACAGATACATTGAAGTAAGTTCACCTCCTCAAAGCATCCAAACCATGCTTTATTTTACTCTGATGTAGCGTCTGGACCAATCAAACACAATTTTTCATTTGCTTTAACAAATCAATTATTCATTAGATTAACAAACGTTCACAGACCCCTCACCCAATAAACATACTGGGTGCCAAGTTGTCTGTGAACAGAGCCCTAAATATTTATAATTAATTATAACTAGTTATGATTAATTATTCATATTTCCCCATGAGCTGATTCGCAACACTGATCTAAAAAAATGCATTGTGCAACAACACTCCCTTTTAATCAGAGACAGTTCTGATTCTTATATGCAACAAATTAAATGGATACTAGGCTTGTGCGAAACTACATATTGTCATAACCGACTAGTGTTTGAGTTGTCTGATGCAACAAATTTAGAGACCCCACTTTTTGGAGAGTTTACTTTGACAGTCTAATATCATGCTAAAGCACAGCATACTAAAGAAGCTGCATCTCTGAGCTTATTCCCTTTAAAGTATTGTTGTTGTTAATTTTAAAGGTAAATTCTGAAAAATATCATAATCAACATAAGTAATTAACAAAGTGACCATCTTGACCCATCCCTAATTTTCACAATCTGAATAATACAATTATATACAATCAAAGGCATGCAGTCCACTCCTATGACACTGTGTTTATTTTGTTTCAGGTGTATAAAGCGACTGGGGAGGAATTTCTGAAGATTGCAGGAGGTGAGTCATTTACATGAAGTCTTCAGTTGTAATATGAGCAGACACTTTCCATTTGTAGAGTAAATCTCCATGCACTATTCCCAGGTGTGTGTGTCAGTCCCTCATTTTTACCCCCTCTGTGGGAATGAAAGACTCTTTGTGAGTCTCTTCCGCTTGCTGACTCATGTAGGGCAGGTAGAGGGGGAAACTCTATTCCCCTTTCCTCCTGCCCCCCGCTCTGGCCAGGCCACAGAGAAACAGGGCCGTTCCCTCAGGGAGGAAGATGGGTCAGCAGCCTCTGAAAAGCCTCACACACAGCAGGTGTAAAAGAACAGCGGCCTGCCGAGATATCATTACAGCGCGTGTGGGTGTGTCTGCTGAAAGGTTTTACAGCAGCTGAGAGTCTGTCTGACATTGTTACCACTCGCCATTTTTAAATGTCCTCATCTTTTGACAGGCACGTCCAATGAGGTAGCTCAGTTTCTTTCTAAGGAAAACCAAGTGATAATCCGAATGCGTGGGCTTCCGTTCACTGCTACTCCTCAGGATGTTCTGGGCTTCCTGGGCCCGGAGAGCCCGGTGACGGATGGGACGGAGGGGCTTCTGTTTGTGAAGTACCCAGACGGACGTCCCACAGGCGATGCATTTGTTCTCTTTGCCTGTGAGGAATATGCCCAGAATGCCCTGAAGAAGCACAAACAGATCCTGGGCAAGAGATACATTGAGCTGTTCCGCAGTACTGCAGCTGAGGTCCAACAGGTACAGATGATTTATATTTAATCAGAGCAAAAAAAGGAAAAAAAAGCTGCCGTACATTTGTATGAAACCAACATCTTTTTCTTCATTGCTGTTTTCTTGACCTACTTTTGTATCTTCAAACTAGGTTTTGAATCGCTACATGTCCACTCCATTGATCTCCACACTTCCTCCTCCTCCGCCTCAGATGGTGTCTGTACCCGTGTTAGCCACGTCACCCTTCATCACCACCGGCAGCACGCGAGACTGCATCAGGCTGAGAGGTCTGCCGTACACTGCCGCCATCGAGGACATCCTGGACTTTATGGGAGAACATACCATTGATATCAAACCACATGGGGTGCACATGGTCCTTAACCAACAGGTGACAGAGGAACTTAATGAAACTAGAAACATCAGGTGTTTCTAGAATGACCCTTTGACCCTTTTTTTGGGGGGTTTGTCTTTTTAGGGTCGACCCTCTGGTGATGCCTTCATTCAGATGAAGTCAGCTGACCGTGCGTTTATGATGGCTCAGAAGTGCCACAAGAAGATGATGAAGGATCGTTATGTAGAGGTGTTCCAGTGCTCCACTGAGGAGATGAGCTTTGTGCTGATGGGTGGAACGCTTAACCGCAGCGGCCTCTCGCCGCCTCCTTGCAAACTGCCCTGTAAGAGGCAGTCTGCTACTTTATGGAGCTTTCTTTTTTTTTTTGTCAAATGCTTGTTGGAAACCGCATGATAAGATGAACTGCGCTGTGAATTTGGGTTAGTATTTAGGGTGAGCAAGCAGCTGTAATCTGTTCCTGTTCAAGAGATGCTGATCTGTTTGCAGTGTTCCAACCTGCGCTCTTCTGCTCCTATCAGCTGGGCTGTTTGAGATTAGATTTCAGTTTATCTACAAGAAAGCGGTGTGAACACCTCTGTCACGGATCTAAAGGTGCAACATTTTGGCATTTTAGAAAGGGCAAGCCTGTAGCGGCACTAAAGGAAGGGCTGTTTACTCTGTAATTTGATTTGGTTGTTTGACCTTGGCTTGAGAATGGGCCGTATGTGCTCACAATACATCAGAGGACACAGTAGTTGTCTCTGTGCCAGCTAAGCTAAGTATACTTAACATTCACACACTCCTGCAAGGTCAGCTGTGTGTGTGTGTGAGAGAGGGAGAGAGTGAGAGAGATTTAGCATGCCCACATGGTGAAAATTTATTTTTAATAAAGCACTGTCATGTCTTTCTCAGGTCTCTCTCCACCAACATATGCTGCATTTCCTGCGACTCCAGCTATGCTTCCCACTGAGGCAGCGTTGTATCAGCCCCCCCTGCTGGCCACTCCAAGAACTCCACAGGCCCCAGCACACAACCCTGTACCTGCTTTAGCCTACTACTCTCCCCAGCTTTACATGAACATGAACATGAACATGAGCTACACCACTTACTACCCCAGGTACAAGGAGAAGACGCATATCTGTGCAAAGATTTACCTCATTTTTACACATGCCACTTTGTTAAATGGTTATGTTGTCTGTGGCACATAGTGGGGTTAAATTTAGCTGTGCAATTTATTTATTAAACATTAGCATATTTATAATCTCCATTAAAAAAAAGAAAGAAGATAAACACCAATGTTCAGTATATAAATGTATTAGTAATAATAATCACGATCACAATAACTATGGTTTCAGCAAGTAATATACACTACCATTGTAGGTGTTAAAATTTCAGTCTATTTAAAAAAAAAATAAAAAAATAAAAAAAAATTGCTGCTATTTTGAACTTTGTGTTCATCAAAGAATCCTGTGGAAAAGTATCAGCTATTTCCACAAAATGATTAAACCGCACAACTGTTTTTAATATTGATAATAATAAATGTTCCTTGATCAGCATATTAGAATGATTTCTGAAGGATCATGTAACCGTGAAGACTGGAGTAATGATGCTGAAAATTCAGCTTTACCAACACGGGAATAAAATACATTTTACAAAATATTCAAATACAAAACATTTATTTTAAATTGTAATATATCTTTCAATATAACTGTTTGTACTGAATTTTTTTTTAGCAAATCAATGCTTCCTTGGTGACCATGAGAGTTCTTTCAAAAACATTAAAAAGACTTCGCAATCCCAAACTTTTGAATGGTTGTTTGCTTCGTAAGTCTTATTGAAACGTGGTCAATCAGCTGTATTACAATTGCTTCAAATGTAGTTCCTCCATTCAGGATGTATAATCCATGTTATAATATGATTTGTTAATGCATCTATTTTCTATTATGGAAAACCTTTTTTTCCTCTCAAACTCGTCTCGTCTCTCTCTGTTGACTAGTCCACCGGTCTCTCCCTCCACGGTGAGTTACACGGGGGTCAAAGACATCCTCGGCTTCTTTCAGGGATATCAGGTGACTCCTCATTTCCACTACTCACTCACTCATTCAGGTTCTCGAGTTAAAAAACAAAAGGGTTTCCTAAGCAGCACACCTCTCACCTGAGACTTTATCAGGAACCTGGTACTTTCTTGTTTTTTTTTATGCTGAATCATTATGTACATTTTGTCCTCTCATTAGCTGACACCCGATTAGGTGGAGACGTCAGAGGTTGGTATGACACCAGCACTCGGAGGAGGAGGAAAGAGGGTTGAGTTAGATGGAAATGAGTGATGCTTTGATTTGGGCAAGGGTCTGTGTGTGCTTTCTCTCTCAAAATATATAAATATATAGCCATGGAGATTTTCTAGATATTCTAGTTTATTTTCTGTTGTGTGGTGGGGTTGGTAAAACTGCTCAGCATGCAGCGCCCCTGCCCTCTCATCTAAGGCGTGTGACACTCTGAGCTGTGCGTCTAACACTGTTCACAAAGCGTAGCACAGTGGCGCGTGTGTCAAATGCCGAGTTCAGGTTTGATTCCTGGCTGAACCGATGAAATGGATCCGAGCCCAGTCCACCCTCCAAGTGTGCTTTTAACCTCTGCTACAAAATGCACACTACGGGCCTCTGTGTGCGGGAAGCGTTTCTTTTTTGGCAGGTGGTCTGGACCCCCTCTTTCTTTCCATATCTATAGTGCATTCATGCTTGGACATCTTATGTGCAACCCAGTATGATGCATACTTTTTATTTCTGCTGTACAGTGTATTGGGGTGGTGTGTTAAATGCGTATGGTTGGACATACACTGGTGTCACCTCTTAGGTTATGATAACGCACTGCACTTCAGATCTGTTTGAAGAGCCTTGCAAATGAACTACATTTAGTATGCTCAATACTCTTTCCTTCATTTACCTGTAGTTTTTTACATTTTCAAACATGCAGTAGACATAGGGGTGTGAACATATGTGATCTGACAATGATTTAATTAAATTGATTCAGGTTTTTGCTTTTTAATATTATTGTGGAAATCATAACCCAAACTTTTGGATGTTAGTAAGATTGATTGCTTGCACTTAAAAAATTTTCTAAAATATTTCTATTTCAAATAAATGTTGTTCTTTTGAACTTCCTATTCATCAAGAAAATCCTGAAAAAGTGTCTTGGCTTACACAAAAATATTAAGCAGCAAAACCCATTTTAACATTAAAAGGGTTACTTACAAAAACATAACTCTTAATGAATTCTAACTTTTGACTGGTAGCGTATAACACACACACACACACACACACACACACACACACTATCCATTGTTAAAAATTGATATGCTCACCAAGGCTGCATTTATTTGATTAAAAATACAGTAAAAACAGTAATATTGTGAAATGGTTAGAATTTAAAATAACTGTTTTCTATTGTGAAATATTATGTATTCCTGTGATGCAAAGCTGCATTTTCAGCATTAATTACTCCAGTCTTCAGTGTCACATGATCCTTCAGAAATCATTCTAATATTCTGATTTGGTGCTCAAGAAACTAAATTTCTTATTATCAATGTGTAAAACAGTTGTGCTGCTTAATATTTTTTTCAGGATTCTTTAATAAATAGAAAGTTCAAAAGAACTTTTATTTTAAATGGAAATCTTTTGCAACGTTATAAATGACTTTACTGTCACTTTTGACCAATTTAATGCATCCTTTCTGAATAAAAGTATTAATTTCTTCAAAATATATATTTTTTTTACATCCATTTAATAATAAAAAAAGAGCATATCTTTTTACACCCCTAGTAGAAATGCATACTACTGTACATGTATGAACGTGGTTTAGGGAAGTGCTGATTGTTGTGAGTGTAACGTGAGGCCTGTGGCACTGACTGTGGCTCATTGTGCTGTAGTACGCTCCTGAAGATTACAGCAGCTTGCTTGGAGTGAGTGATCAGGGCCGGAGTCTGATTCAGCCAAAAGAGTGGCTTTGTCTGTAGGGCGAGCCTCTCCAGGTAAGCTCTCATGATGCCCCTGTGACCTGAACCCATCGCTTGTGCATGGACAATACTCTTTAACTCCTCCCCTCACTTCCACTGCTCTGGGGTGACCTCCAATCAGAAGTGGAATCCTTAATACTCTTCTGTTTTCATATCTTCTGTAAATCTTCACACTCTGCTTTTTGCATAATCAGTCCCAGTATGCTTTATTGATCAATGTGCTGCTGTTTTAAGAAGCTTTCAGATGTTATAATGCTCTTTCTTTCTAATCTAAGTGGTTTGGGCTTTGAATGTCTTGTTCGGGTAGCATCATTGTTCTGAACTTACTGCAAGTCTCCTGCCTTTAAAAGGGTTTCCTAAGTATATACTCATTCATTTTCAGGTGATTTGATTGATTTGATTAATCCAATCTCCAATCCTCTTTCTCTCCCTAGCAATTCAGTTCAGTGTGTATGCATGATCTTGACCTTTTCTGACCTTATTGTAATACATGCCAGTGGGTTTTTTTTTTTTTTTTTTTTCCCACTGGAATATATATATTAAAAAAAAGCTTATATATATATTTTTTTCCCCCCTTTCTTTTTGGTGTAGCTCCAGGCGGACTCTGTGCTCATGCTGTATAACTGGAGTGGTCAGCGTAGTGGGGAGGCACTGGTGACCTTCCCCAGTGAGAAAGCAGCAAGACTGGCTGTAGCCGAATGCTCCAATGTTCCCCTCTCCGGCCACCCCATCCGCCTGGTCTGCTGCGAGTGACCACACACTGACCGCTACACCCCCTGAGGGAGGACCGCACTTCACCCGTCTCAGCCCTTTCTCCCTCATTACCTGTCTTTTGGCTTTTCCGACAGTTGTCTGAAGACAGTTGTCTACACAAAGTAGAAGGGGACCTGACACCGAAGCACTGTGTGTATATATATATATATATATATTTATTATTATTATAATTTTTATTTTTTATATATATATATATATATATATATATACACACACACACATTTAACCATCTTAGTAGCACTGCCTCACTGCTTGTGTGTGTGTGTGTATGAGAGAAATTGAGATCAGTGGCATGCATGCTGAACTCTTCCTGTGTCTTTTGATGTCAAGATCTCTTCTGTCCTAATTCAAGACTTAAAGTAAACTTATAACATTGCAAGCCATCAGTTTATGGAACGAGATCTTCCTGTCATAAACACAGCTGGGCAGTCCAGTTGGGCTGTAGTCCTTGCCTTGCACTAGGGAACCAAAGTGCAATGCAATACTTATTTGCCGTTATGGATAAAGGAATGTTTTGAAATACAGTGAGATTGCAAGAAGCCAAATAGATGCTTTAAAAAACTGTAAGACTGTTCTGCAGCACATAGGATTAAAAAAGGGCATGATGGTTTTCCCCAGTGTACCTCTGCACTGTTTGGCCTTTCGACTTCCTTATTTAATAAGGGTCAGACCAAGTATGTACTCCATAGACTTACATGAACTGATTTTTAGTTTAATCCATTCGAAAAGTGATTTTTTTTTATTTAAAGTAAAAGATGAGTTGTTTGTGTAATCTACATTCATTAATGCTCGTTCCTTAGATGAACTGAATCGATAGAGGTGTGTGTTCTGTTGCCCCCAGTCAGACCTCTTGAGAGATGTGCAGACTGAACTGTGTCGAGGTCTTGCCTGGTTTTGGACTTTATAAGTTTTTGGAAATGCGGTCTACGTCTGTTCTTTTCTTCTGCTACTAGACTGCTTGAATCATGAGCTTCATTTTTTTTCTTTTTCTTTTTTTCCATGACTACATTATCTGGAGTGCAATACAAGGCTGAACAAAATGTCACACCCCTCTAGTGAAAGAAAGGGCATCCCCACCCCCCTAAAATGTATGAAATGTTTATGTATGTGTGTTTAAAATGTGACTCTTATGCGACAAATAAATTGATATTGCTTTGACATGATGTCAAAGTGGTGACATTATTATTATTATTTGGACCAGCTTTGTGTGTTATTGAAGATTAGAGCTGTGGTCTTCAATCTTCTTGACTCCAAGGTGCCCCATTGTCCACAACAATTTTATGACTTCATGTTTTTCATCATTTACTGGATAAGGGTAAAAAAATTAGTGCATATATCGGGTATAAAGTGTAATTCTATATATATATAGAATCACACTTTATACCAGATTAAGTATTTTAGCGCTTGACACAAATTCTGTTAATTAAAAATGCCTGTGGAGTTTAATTTGCAGGTTTACAAATCATACTTTTAAAATTAGACGACTACATATATCCAGGTTTTCGAAGATGTCTGAAAAAAAAAAAACCAGTAGTTTTGGGTCGTAGTAATTATCGTGACCGGTATAGTTCATAGTGGCTGCTCTGTTCTCCAAAGAGCCGTTATGAGCTGGCGAATGTTTAAAGGAGTCATTACTTTGTGTATTTGTTATAACAGAATATGTTGACATGCGTTAATTTTTCAAATACTGTACATTATTGTAGGTCCTCTATGCCCCGCCTCTCTCAAACACGTCGTTTTCAACAAAGCCCCCTCCTTTGACAAGCGCAGTCTGCTCTGATTGGCCAGCTGACCGAGCTTGTAACACTCCAAAGAGAAAGGAAAAATTGAAATCGCATCATATGACCCCTTTAAAAATGGCGGCAAATATAAAACACACCTACAGTAACTTGACCTTTAACCTAAAATTGACTGGTTTTGATAATTATATTAGTGTCAATATACAATAAAATAACGTGTCAGTTTATGATAATAAAAAAAAACTTTTTTGTAATGATTCAGTGGATCCCCTGCAATTACGTGACGGACCACTAGGGGTACGGGTACCCCGGTTGAGAAACACTGCTCTATAACACGGAATCAGATCAATAGTTTATAATTGAAGCGTCCCTGGAATAATTACTCATACTAAAAAAAACAAAAAAAACAATGGTGATCAGCAGCATGATGTGATTGTAAAAAAAAAAGGTACAATTCTGTCACTGGGACAGTCCCCTTTCAAAATATATTCAAATATACACTTTAGGTACTAACATGTAATTTTAAAGTATTAATATGTACTTTTAGGTACTGATATAAACTATTTAGGGATAAGGTACAGAGATGTACCTTAGGGTTTCACCCCACTGACAGCTTTGTATCTTTTTTGTGTATATTGAGTGTGTATGTGATGTTATCCTGGGGGCAGCCCATTCACTAAACATTTCATTCTTGATGCATCAAGAACAATCCAGAACACAATGACAAAAAAAAAAGAGACATTTTTGCATTTATTCTTTTTATTGATACACTACCTCAGAAGAGCCTATGCCGCACGGTGTTCCCTTTGAATAATTTCAAAAAGCACTGCAGTCTTAAAAATTACAAAATGTTAAATACAAAATATACATGAAACGACAATACAAGGCTCCGTAAACATCAACTGAACCTGTACTTTTATTTTACAAACCATTCAAGCTACCCAAACGTTAGGAATGACATCCATTTCAAAGTATCAAAAATAGAGTTCTGGTGTTTGCATTGTCATCTGTATGTATTGTCATCTGTATGTAAAATGGGAACACATTGTTCGATCTTTGGTTTCTAGAGAATGAAAATAGGTGCTTATCTAGGGAACCTGCTTCATCCCAAAACTCCCCATCCATAATATATATATATATATATTATATATATATATTTTTTTTGCTTGTATTTTTGTCTTGATTCTCAAAAAACACTAAACCTAAACCAAACTCAAACCTTATGACACACATTCTCTAAAATTGCATCTTAACACAAGTTAAGGCTTTCCTACCATATATTTGATAGTTTAAATTAAATAGTCAAAGTGGCATTGAAAACACCTGCTACTATATGTAAGGGTTTACATACAACAAAATATATATACTTACTGTATAGATGCAAGACTAACAAACAAACCTGCTATTTGTATGTTTGAATGTCACACCATCATATTGTCTGTCCTTGCATAGCCTAATGTATCAGTGTGCTTTTACACCATTCAAATTCAAAGAGGTTTTATAAGATACAAAACAAATCTCTTCAATTCACTGGATACAAACTGACATAAGCGCATATGCACAAAACCGTTAAGACGCTTGCTTTGTGCATGAACAGACACATCTTGACAAACGGAACTCTTGTCTGGCGTACTACTATACGAAGAAGCATCTTTACAGCATCTAGTCTAGAGGCATCAAGGTTTGCTTTCCTTTTTTTGTATTTTTTTACAAAGGCTGAAGGCATTTTTCAAACATAATTAACAGTCATGGTTACAGCTATATGTCTCAAAGACTGAAAAACAATAGAAAAAACAAAAACAATGTCTTAATCGAATTGTGCCAGTTTTCATAGGAAAATTGAAAGGCAAAATTTAAGGCAAGGAGCCAATAGAAACTCATAGATTTGTTTGCTTCAAACGGTATCTGCTCTGGCAGTGTCCATCCTCTGTGTCTGACCCAGTGAGTGAAGTACAGAGGAAACTTGCTCACTCCACTGTTTTTTGTCCACACAGAGAGCTAATTGCAAGCAAAAATGAGCACTATCATCGTCTAAGATGGACTGAGGGGTTTGGAAGCTGGTTTGGATTTTAACCTTTTTGCCCCAGAATGCAGCGGGGATACAAACCGAGAACGGCTTCCAAGTAATTCTATAGTAAGACATGTTGATTGTCAGGATGCAACCTTTAAAAAAAAAAAAAAATCAATCAATTAAATATAGTTATTTCCCTGTTGTTTATGCATAACTGTTTCTCTAATCAAAGGCACAAAGCGAGTCTCAGCATAGTCAACATATTATTGTGTTTGAGTTCAATGCACATGAAGCCCATATATATATATATATATATATATATATATATGAGCTTTATTATCTCCAGACCTTTTGGTCTACGGTCATGAGTTCATCTTCCCATGCAACTATACAAAACATGTATGCTATCTTTAGAGTCTGAGAACAATTCTTTTGACTTTTAAAGCAAAGAACAGTGAAAGTAAGATTCAACACGATTCACAGCACTCCAGAACAAAAGATGAAGCTCAGCTACTTTCTAAGTGTAAAATACTCACACTGGATTCAACCGTGTCGTCGTCCTCCTCCTCAAAAAAAACAACAAAACAAACTAATATATACGTATATTGTTAGCAGAAAGCTTGTTCACAATCACAGCTACTACATAAGGCATTTGTTCAACCTGAATAGGAAATGGGCCAATTATTAAACAGATAATCTACAGCTCAGAAAGGTCACTAGACGTGGAATGTTGCATGTTATTACTACAGACTCAGTGCAGCGCCCGAGAGCCCGTCCACTAGGGGGCAGCACTGGGAGAATTGTCAGAGAAAAAGGCGGGAGATTTCGCTGGTAAGAAGGCGTGACTTGGCATCTATCAGGCTTCAAGCACCCCTCAACTATCCCACTAAAGTGACTGTAGAACTGCTGCTGTGCACTGCATATTCCGGTCAGGGATGAGGGTGCTCGACTGCATAGCTAGCCAATCCGAGCTACAAATAATAATACATCATGCTGTCAGAGAGCCCTGAATTATTGGTTTCACTTCCAGGAGAACACCACAAATCCAAGTTTACTCCCACTCAACCACGCCTGTGTATGTGTATATGTACAGTACACCTGATTTTGTGTGCATGCGTACAGTATATAACCCCAACTCTCCCGGCTGTTATCGTTTACAGCCAAAGCTGTGTTTGTGAATCTAGAGAAAGCAATGATTGTCGCTCAAATTGCTTCTGGATCTACACTAGGAAGGGCTGTTTTTGGACTATCGGGGCAGACGCTGGCTTTGGGTGGAATCTCGTTGCCCGGCTCTGGAGTCCTGGGAAGACTGTCTGAGAGTCTGACGGGTGTGTTGTGGGCTAGGATTGACTGTGTGCAGCTGGCGAGCCCCCATGAGCCTCTGGGGCCTGAGACATGTCTCTGCCTATGATCTCATTCACTGAAACACACAAAAAGAGACATTATTTAGATTATTTAGGAGAAGATATTATTTCAAGGACTGGTATACTGTTCAAAAGGTTTTGGTTGGTAAGATTTTTGAAAGAAGTCTCTCCTGCCCACTAGGGCTGCATTTATTTGACCAAAAATACCACAAAATCAGTAATTCTGTAAAATATTAAAACAATGTAAAATAACCATTTTTTAATTGATGATATTTTATATTGTAATGTATTCCTGTGATGGCAAAGCTGATTTCTCAGCAGCCATGACCACAGTCTTTAGCTTTGTGGAACATTTTTTGTTTCAGGATACTTAGATGAGTACAAAGTTCAGAAGAACAGTATTTATATGAAATTGCTGTCCCCAAACTTTAGTGTGAACTTTCATATTGAGCATTTCAAAAATCAGTTCCTGTATATAACCATAGAAGGGCAGTGTTGAGCTGTGTAAAGTCGAGTACAGACATCATCCTCTAGGGCTGCTGGAAATAAAAGACAGATAGAAGAGGGTATAAAATAAAATAAAAAAACTTTGGTTATGTGCCCACTTAGGAAAAAAAAGTGTGCGATTGTGCATCTGTGAGCGTGAGGATGTAAATTCTGACAGCAGCAGTCTTATTAAGATGACCACAACACACAGGCTATAAAAGCATCCTCCGCTGCTTTAACTGCGAGGCTTTGGTGCAGGCAGTTGCATCAGTTCATTATGAGTTTAATGGCCTTTGACTACATTTCCTTTAGCCTGTTGGCTTGGGCTTTTAGAGCACTATGAAAGGCCTGTATAAAACTGATCCTTTGTTAAAACACATGTTCTATATCCCAGAAGGCAACAGAGCAAGTGTGGTAATTACTTTAGCAGGCCGGGAGTCTGATGTTAAGCAAGCAGCCAAACTTTTTTAACAGGTCGTCCCAGCAGGGTTCTGATTAATGCTGTGAAAATATGTGGAAGTTTTTCCACATGCTCAATTGGATAGTGGATGTTCTCAGCAATATAGCAAGTGCGACGATATTGCTGGCATGACAAAACCAGTCAACGGCAACCATAACACAAAAGTTCATCCTATAAAAAAAGCAACAGCGAGGGAGAACTACGCCAAAGACGGTTCCTCACTTTGTGGAAAAAAATGATTGTTCCTTAGGAGAGATGGAGGGTTTTGACACACACTCACCATAACATTCAATCACCAGATTTCCAAGCTTGCCATCGGAGTAAGAAACCACATCTATAAAAGGTGATGACAAATCAGAGGGAAAAGCTGAGAAGCAGATGAACAGGTCGAAGGGGGTTGAAGGGGGCCCCAGGTATTTTTCAGACAGGTACCTGCTGCTGCAAGCGAGTTAATAAATCCCCGCATTCCTCATCCAGACAACACATGACTGACTGGGATGGTCTACATTTTCCAACAGAACTAAAAAAAATGTGAGCTCAGTCAAACTGAACAAATGTGTCGCTCTATTCTCTACACAGGATTAAAGCTAAGCTTTTTTTTAAACCAGCATCAGTAGACATATATGATGTCATATACAGTAATTTGTTAACAAGACATCAAAAGCCAGAGAGCTGGACTTAGTGCTAAAAAAACCATTAAAGGTAAATGAAAGGATACGTGTTTAAATGAGAAATATGGCAGAGAGTGTTACCAAAAAGTGGCAGAACACCATATAAAGGACTGTGCTGATCCACTCTAAATCTAATTAATGAGCATCTCTTATTATATTCACTCAGTAGGATGAATATTTAAAGCAGTTGTGGAGTGCTGGAGTCACACTGTGTATGTAACGCTACTGATGTTTGTGATGGTTTAAACACGGCTCTTTGGTGTTTAGAAAAATCGAAATGTCACAAGAACTAACTATAGCACTGCTGTATTATAATCATTCAGGTTAAGTGTGCCATATTTGCATAAGTTATTGTAGTTACTTGTTTAATGTAGATTATATCATTTGATTCTTTGTGTGCAGTGTCTATTTTTTCTATTATTTATGTTTATTAGGTTTATGTTTTTTCTTGCTTTGTGTACATTTTGTGTTAGCCTCAGTGTTTTGACTGTTATAGTCAAAGTTTAGAGTTGTTTTAGTACATTTCTTATGTGGTTAATGTTATTTGTGATGGTTTTGTGTGCAAAAGTTGCATGTTTGAGTGTGTGTGTGAGAGTGTATGTGTGTGTTGTTTCAAATGCCCAGCCGCTGTCACAGATCATCCTGTTGGCGTAGGCGGCTCTTCCTCTTGCATGAACACACTTCACACATGCAGACCTGCTCTGGGCTGATTGTGAGTTTTGCTTGCAATTGTGAGTTTTGCTTGCGCTGTCTGCCTCTCACGCCGCACAAACAATCTTACA